TATATTGACACACTGTTAAGTATTTTTATATTCAAGTAAGACGTGGAACCTTATTTTTCGTATATATTGTAATTCTTTATTTTGTAGAAACACATTCAACACATCACTTTATACAACGAAATATGTTCGACTATTAATTGAAATGATGATATGTTTACAATGGAATGCTGATGCTCAATAATTTATTTCATCACTATTAACCCTAACTTCATTGTGGTGTATCTACTATTCTAATCACGGGCCGGAATGGACGCTATAAATTGTTCATGAATTTGTACGCTATTCAATTAATATTGCTATTAATTAAAGTGGATTTTTTGGCGATTTCACAAATTCCTTGAAATACGACTTTTAATTGTTCGAGGACAAGACTAACGTATATTGGATTGTCCCTCATTGTTGGTACCTTTAGTTTACAACGAACATCGCCATCTCTACTGGAATGAGTACTGGTAAATCAATGAAATTGAACTATCGACATTTCATAAAAATAAACATTATAAAAGCTTACAGAAATGGTTTCCATTACAGAACTTGCCAAATTTGGTTTGTTCAGATGCAAGATTTGTTCCGTGATTATATAATCATAATTCATACTCAAACTGAATATTTAAACTTCAAATATTCCTATAGTAATTGTTTCAGAATTTTGTTCCAATGCGATGTATACTGTACAAAAATCTGTAATACTTCTTAATGATACTTCGATGTGTATCTGCAAGCACTGCTAACTGAACTATCAGCTCTTTCTGTATTATTTCTCCTCAATAAAGTCTTACTCTAAACTGTATTCGAATTAATTATACTTGTCTATATCACTGTAAACTGTACAATGATAAAACGGACAAAAGTTTGTAAATACCACGAGGATAAACTCGTTCCAGTCCACTTTCATATCAGCCGCGCATTAAAGTCCTGGCTATTGTCCCGGCTAATAAATTGACTTGTTATTTACCCTAACCCTGTACCCCGGGGGAAATGGTGCATTAAACCCGCGTTAATCCACGGCCATTCCCCCGTCAATTCCCCGTCCTGTCACGTGGGGCCGGGGTTTCGATTGACTAATGCACAATACAAACTTCGAAATATGTGCATCATGCGCCACCCTTTACACCATATAGATTATAAAAGAACTTTTATGATCTCCATGGTTTGCACCATCCTGGCTTGCGAGTTCCTCATGTACCCTTGGGCCCGCAAAGAGAACTTAGTGAGTGCACGAGGTCACAGTGACCTGAAGTTCACACCCTAATTTTTGGTTGATCAGGATCATGAAAGATCTTGATTGGTTGCAAGTTCACATATCAGAATTCACAGTTCACAATTTTAATTGTCGCCTTGACCGAGCTATTTTTAAAACTATTGTCTACACTTTATGTGAACTTGCAACCAATCAAAATCTTAAAAGGTCAAACGCATGTATCAAATCGCATTCGAATTTCTTTTCTTTTATGCTTTATGAATTATGGCAGAAAAAATCAAACAAACAGTATTTTGAAAATCTTTGTTTGCTGTTCGGTCTTAATTATATAAAAGTACCTTGAATTTTTAAATTTAATTTAATTAAAAAGCAAAATGCACACTCTGCGGACATGTTCATGCATGAGAATATAATTTTTTTGTGCAGTGAAATGTACAACACTTGTCAATCATATTGCATGACTGTGTCTAAAAATAACATGTGGGCATCCCACGTTTGTGCCAGACCCTATTTAAAGGCCTGAATTTCAGGTTACAGTGACACTGTGACAGTCAATGATGTCAGTGTCTCACAGACGAGGTTTGGCTATTCTTTCTGGGATTTTGTCGTTTCTGTTTGTTGCTGTTGCACCTGGACGATTCTGCTGTGGATCTGTGTTACTGTCGTTAGTTAAGTTTGTTTGACCGAGGTAAGTGTTTTTGGTTTGTAATGTATGCCCATCTGCATGTCCTATTAATATATTGAATGTCTTTTAATATTAGTGCTCCCTGACCTCAGTCTATGTAGTCCCAATCTAAATTGATTTTACATGTATGGTCGGAGACTCGAAGTTCAAATGTAAATTCCGAAGAGAACAATACTGAAACGTTATATTGTAATACAATTTAAAGCTTAGTCTTAATTTGGCTTTCGAACGGCAACGCCCAACGGGGAGTTGCTAGTTTAGTCGGCGGAATCATAGGGACGTGGATATTTGTACTCTTAGTAGTTTATAGTAACTGTGACTGCATAGGGATTCAAAAATATTTTGAGATGTAATTACAAATCGATATTTCAAAAAATCATCTTTTTGCGCCAATAAACCCCAAAAATTAAGAAGCATGACTTGTCAACAGCAAGTAATTCCATACTGTGGATTTTACTGAACTGCATATGGAACGCGTTAAAATATTTGTCTGTCGTTTCATCTGCCTGCAAACGTAGATGTTTCTACTGGAAGTTGTATATTTGCAAACGTAGATGTTTCTACTGGAAGTTGTATATTTGGCAATATATCAACAGTTTTCGGCCTTTCGCATTCGCAATTGCTGTTTAGTGCTTTTATGTGTTTTCAACAAACTGCATGGCGAATGTACGTCCTTAGGCTAGTTTGGTGGTAAAGTTCATTTGATAATTGAAATTCTGTTTCTCTTGTCTGAGTTGTAGTCTTCTATCCATGATGTCAAAATTACATCGATGATATTGTTTTGTTGGTAGATATTTGCTTCTATGTACCATCAGTATCAGCTATCTAGTTTTTTTCTGTATCCTATACTTTCAAACATTTGTTTTGTTCTATTCATTCAATCGCTTCAAAATTTATTTTCTGTTTTTACGAAAACCTATGTCAAAAACGTCAAAACAATTAGCAAGACAACTACAGTTATATTACTGTAATATGAGAGGTGAGAAATGCATTTACACTTTTATAATGCGTGACAAATGCATTCACACTTTCATATAAGGGATGGACCATTAGAAAAGTGAGGGGGGAGGGCAAAACCAAAAAAAAGTTTATTCCCAGAAAACAATTAGGGGGAAAATCTTCCCAGACATAGTGCAAAAAAAAATCCTTGCTTGGAAGATAAGCCTATAAATTTCACTTACAAAAATATTTCCAGCCATCAAGTGAGAAAAAATTTCTTCTATAGATGTACAAAAAATATATATTGCCTCTTAGAAAATCCCCCCCCCCCCATCACTTTTCTAATGGTCCGTCCCTAATTTGCTCAGCTGCAAACTTCCTACATTTCATTACAGTACACTGTCAGCCAAAAATTTCGTTATATACTTATAGTTATATTAATATTGTGTCTGTGAACAGTAGTTTATTAATAAGTACGCTTTAAGAAAAACAGTATTAATTTTTTAATCATGTATGATAGGAGGCTATGTATTGGGAAACATTTGGAAATATTGCAAAGTTGATGCTGTTTCGTTATTAATACCGTAGGAAGGGTAAACAGTTTCAATTATAAATGTAACAGTGTAACTATAAATAGTAACAGTCTAGACATTTCTCCCTATAAAAAATAACAATAGACTTGATTGATCCTGATTGACATTCTGTCACAGAATTTCAATCAAGTCCATTGTTTTTTTTTATAGGAGGAAATGTCTAGACTGTTTACTATTTATAGTTATAGTATTTATGTTTCATCAACTGGTATTTTGAACTTTGCAATTCTAAGGAACAGACCATTAGAAATCCCGGGGAGAGGATATAAAATTTTGTGGCACAATTTTTTTTTCAGTCTCATGTCTCAACCTCGTTCCCAGGCTCTTTGCTCTTGTGAAGCAAAGATGTCTCTGCAAGATTTTTTTTCAAGACTGTTTGCACTTTGCTGTTTGCTTGCACGATTTCGTTTTCTAGCTCTGACGTAATGGCTGCACAAATTTTTTTCCAGGCATTTTTCTTTGCACGAATTTTTTTTTAATTTTCACCCTCCCTCCCGAGATTTGTAATGGTCCGCCCCTAATGAGAAGCTTTCGACTTTTGTTGAAAATTTTGAGTAGAAAATATAAAATATGAAAATTCAATATTTGAATTTATAGGCAAACGGTCAAACAGAAACATTGAAAATTCGTTTCAAAGGGCAATGCTTTAACTTGATTGGTCAGTTGTTATATAACACCTAACATCATTGGCTAATCTGCACAGCAAGTTAGGAAATTTCTAAATTCTAAGGAACTTCTTCAAATTATTGAGGAACTGTCAGCAGTTAGAAAGAATAGATCAACGCATGGAAATGAATTCGAACTGATCAACATTTTTCAGAACACTTCTATTGGCACGACTTTTTACAGTGAAAATACAAAAAGTGTCCCGCTTCTGTAATACACTAATTTGTTCCGTTTTTCTGTAACGGATTACCGATTTATCGGCAAATACCGCATTATCGGCGCATCAGTTCTGCTGATAACAAAAGGGGACCCCCAGATATAAACATTGCCCAAATTTTGCATCTTTCGAACTTTTTTGAACTGAAACGTAGAAATTAAATTCATTTACAAACATAGTGAACCAGAAAAGTGTTAGATATTCAGTTAGTATATCGCATTTTACAAATATACCAGTTCAAAACGTAAACAGAGTTCGTGCATGCACACAGGAGTAGACATCATCTTTAAATCTCATACCTTTTATGCAATGAAACTAAATGGAAAATGTATTATTTCCCTTTGCTACAAATTATCATATTTAAAAATGGAACTGAAAAACAGAGCCTGGGAACAAGGTTGGATGTGCCTTTGTGCACATTTCAATATTTCCAAGCCCATGATAATATGTTCTAGTACAAAAAGTATGAATGTAAATAAGTTTGGTCACTCTTACAATATTTTGAGCTTGGAAATACTGAAACGTGCACAAAAACGGGCACATCAAAACATGAAAAATAACTGAAGGCTTTGCACTGTAACACGTCACATGAGCCGTGAATACGTTTCCGTTTCCAACCCAGTAAACACCCTGTTTCAATGTTTGTGGTTTATACTAATGCAAATAGCTGTATGCAATATATTTTTTCCTTTTCTGTAGATGTCTTCCCAATCAACTGAGTTAACAATTGAAAACATCAAATCTATACCTGTTCCACAGTCTCCTCAAAAGTATTCAAAAACACTAACTTGTGCTGTGCTTAATAAGAGTCCAATACGACCAACCAGAAATAATGGATCCATGTTCTCCATGAATCTTTGTGGTAGGGACCCGTCATCTACAATCCGAGCAATATGTTTCTCCGAAGGCATGTTTTCTAAATTTCAACCAAACACAACATATAATCTTAAGCAATTTAAAGTGAAGAAAGCATTTGGCAAATCCAGTTCTAATGTTGAGTTGCTAGTAGACAATGACACAAATGTTTCCACTTCAACATCGCAATTTGTACTGGAGGAACACTCCTTTACCATCTCCCAAATTTTAAACAATGAAACTGAAAATGTTAGATTCATCAACCTTAAGGCTAAAGTAATGAAAGTAGATGATTTAATTGTAGTTGGCACATATCCAGATAACAAAGCAAAGAGAAATATTCATCTTGCTGATCACTCAGGGCACATTCAAATGGTACTCTGGAGAGATCGTGCTGAGAATTCGCAAGTTGTCGAGGGCAACGTTTTGAGTATCAAGAATGCTGTGGTCTCCAACTATCATCAAGCATTAAGCCTCACCAGCACATTTGAGACCACAATTACCAGTATAGATGAAGTGACGATGGCTGCACCTGCGGAGGAACCATCTTTAAATTCCAATGTGGTTTCAGTATACTTGCCATCAAAGAATTCTTGTGTCAATACAGCTGCATTGGTTGTCGAAAGGACATCAATGTTGATCCATCTGAGGACAGTGTAACTGTAACATGTCCAACATGTTCATCAGTGTTCTTAAAACAAATTGCTGTAATAACCAACCACTGTATGATTCTTTTAAGCAACAAGCAATGGTTTTCCACTCATACTGGGGTAAGCTTCTTTTTAGAGCAAATACTGTAAGGACACTTTACAAAGCATTGTGTAGAAACCAGTGCACACTTTTTCAAGAAACACCTAAGTGGCTATAAGTTTTTTAATCCACAGTTAAAAATGTCTTGAAGTATTTCTGTTTATTAAATGTTGTATAATCCCCAAGTTGCTGAAATTACAAATTAAGTACCAGAGATGATTTATTTGTTCAAGCATTGACAATGTTACCTATCAAAAATTTCAGACTATAATAAACGTGGGGGGGGGTCAACTCTGAAACAAAACACAGTTATCAGAGTGAGTCGATTGTTCATTTTATGTATTAGCCTTGTGTTTGATGGCAAATACGTGAAATTCCGTATCATTTTTTCACTCCAGTACAGCATAAGCATCAATACATTTCAGGTTGACCCCCATCAGATATTCACTGCAAAATGCCGTGGTGAAACCCAAGAATACTTCAATGTTTTGTACAGCTAACCAAATATATCTTGTCTAACTTAGCAATTGATATATTATACCTTGAACTAAAAGTTTTTAATACATAAACATTCAACTTACCACTTAGAGCATGTTTCTACTTAGCTTTTCCATGCAACCACACGGGACAGTGGACATCATTAAATATTGTGGCATTTTGCCGGTTTTGGTCCTATCTATGCATCTCATTGGCAGGTGACGTCATCCCTTGGGTATTTATTAAAGAAGCCACGATTGTCATTTTAGATCACCCACCCCTGATGAAGACACTAGACTGGAGTGTCGAAACGTTGGGTCTTGATTACAATTCGACTGGGCTTTGTAATCATTTGTTTAATTAAACAGAGTAGCAAGCGGAACAGGATTGATATACTTGGTTGCAGTGAACGAACAAACTTTAAAAATTAATTTGTTGACCTCCACATTTAGGTTATCCAACATCTCTTTAACTGGACAGCACCAAAGACAAAACCAACGAACGAAGACATCATTAATGTGCTTGGTAACACATTCACCTTGCGGTTGGACCTCAACGAGCGTCTTGTACAAGAAGCAAGCACTCTGGTTGCAAGTGATGATTTGAAAATCAAACATATTGGCGATGATGATGATGATGAATTAGTGGATGCCATGCTTAAAATTGAGCAAGGTGGATCAAGCCCCAAAAAATTGAAACAACAATAACTGTTTATGTGTGTTTCTGTTTACACAAATTTGGGTGACAATTTCATGTTTTGTTATCATGTTTTGAGTATATATTACAACAGGCAGGAATTTTGCAGTGCTTCCAATTTCAAATTTGAAACTTCCAATGCTATCCTAAACAATCCCAAGTATTATGCTTTATCCCTCACGCTCTCCTGGGACGAATTTTGAACTTGGAATTGGGAAACTATAAAACGAAAAGGCAATCTGGAGCAAGTCAATATAAGCACCCAAATTTTTTACATTTTTAGCCTAGTTTTCTGTACTGATCACACATTTTTACTGTTAAAATGTTGTAACATAGGAACCGTTTTCATTGGATGCATTGGATGCATTGGAACCGTTTTCATTGGATACCACAATTCTGCTACGTACCACTCTGCAGTACAGTAGTAAATACAGAGCAAAGTGCAGAAGTCCCGGGATGACTGTATTTTGAATCTAATTTTTGCCTAATTGCATGGGAAGGCAGGAAAAGGTTACGTTTGGTAACTATTAAAAACAATGTATAAAAACTAAAATTTAGTATGTAACTAAAATTATACCATGCTTATATTATACCTGGTTTCGGTGTTTTTGTGGTTAGTTCACAGCATCCAACAAGAAAATAACTTTTAAATTACAACAGAAAAGTTTTCACAAAAATATCATGGACTTTTTATATTGCAACGTGCAACCATAAGCACGTTCAAGCGAAGGCACTTCGTCTGGAGTTACTATAGGCCTTCGCTCGAAACGTTAAAATTATCCTTATATTATCCTTTTCAGGTAGTTTCGTTGGTAGGCATCCCTACCAACGAAAGCTTGTTCATATTTATATTGGCACACCTACATTGCCACAGACTGTTCAAGAGCATTGATCTGCTATATATACACTTTTACAGTCAACAGTGAAAGATTTGCAACAAGAGTTAGCAGTGACAACTCCTCAATTGCCCTATTGATTGTATCGTTTACAGTAATGTGCATATTTGTAATAGACCCCAGCGAGTTAACGCTCCATAGAGCGTCTTGTTTATATTTAAAATTGGGTTTTTAGTGCCATTTTAAACTGCCAATTTCAAACAAATCGAACCTTTCGAAAGAAATTTCATTGCATTTTAACTGAACTTCGCATTCACTTCAAGGGTTCAGTCATTGTTCGTGGAGAAATATGTTCATTTTGGTTTGTGACACTTCACTTTGGAAATCACTTTAATATTAAATGTTAGGAATTATTTTTTATTTATTGATGATAAATTATATAAATATAAAATATAAACCTCCCGGCTCTTCGACATTTTCAAAGTCTAGTGATGAGAATCAAGGAATTTATTTTATGTGGCCTAATGAAAGCAGAGAAAAGTATCAAAACCCAAATACACTATGTGTTGTTTTAGATTCTATTCGCATAATGTATTATTTGTATTACGAAATGTACATTTTGATCACAAAATCGACTATTTTTCGGAAACAAAGGATTGGAATATCAAACTACTACAACTGCCTGCAGAGGCAATGTAAGCCTAAATTATTATTGTGGTTAGCATAGAAAGAAACGAATATTTAGGGAGAAATTTGATATTGTTGTGTGAGCTACAGTCCAAATCTGAATGAAATGCTGACAGTCAATCGCGTATACTGTGTTATTTATTTCGATTTTCGAGGTTTATGTCAAATCTAATCAGGACAGGTTTTGGATTGCATCAAATTTTATTTAAAAAAGTATAAATTTCAAAGTTGCGAGCAATTAATCAAATTTATTTCGTGTGGGAAGTTGTCTGTTTGTGTCTGACATGTTGAACTACAAATACAAACAATATCAGAAAATGATGTTATTTATTTATGTAATTAAAATATCATGATTATGAATTAACATTCATTCCTATTACTACAATATTACTTCGAAAACATCGAATTTTTCCAATAAATAAACCAAACTATCATATGTTAACATACTGCACTTTATACTTTGTAAGTAAACAGCATGTATTAATACGTTTAAATTTCGCATTTAGCAATTCTTTAACAGCTCATAACCAACAGAAATGTATTCACTAACCTTCAAATTACAACCAGCGGCCGTGGTTTGTAATTTGAATAATTCGTTTGCGAAAAATAGTCAATTTATTCAGCCAAATGGCCATTCTGCAATACAAATCTCTAATAAATTTACTGGCTTTACTGGCTGTGAGTAATTAGAGTGGGCAATTTCCGGTACGCGCAAGGCATAACATGCGCTGCTTCAAAAACTTCAAAGGTTCCGACGCGAGTTGCTCTTCTATTCAGGGGCGGATCCAGCTCCTGAGCTGACTGATGCATACATAAGATCTCGCATTTGTAGGGGGGTCCGAGGGTATCCTCCCCGGGAAATTTTGAAATCTAGTACCTTGGAAATGCGATTTCCTGCGTTCTGAGCAGACTCTTTTGTTCCAATTCATATATCAGAGTCACAAAAATTTTGCTGCATTTTTGGAAAAACAAGTAAAAAACTTGAACATATATAGCAAAAACAACATAATTTCCCAATAAAATTTGCTTGTCCAAGTGTAATAGCAGCAGTGGCAATAAATCTCTATTAAAAAATAATCAGTACTGTGCTTCTTGTAGCCTTAACTTTTCTATTGAAAAACATTTCGGCAGAAAATCACGACAACGCAAATACACACATACTGTGTAACAAAGGTGTATACAGTGTGCTCCACTAGTTGCATTGCTGGACTCAGAAGACAGTGTTATTATGTTGTTTATGAACCACCTTCCCCCATTAATTTCCAATGTTCCATGAGTAAAATCTTCTAGCATTAGAATTTAAAGTAAAATAAAATATGGTGCATAAAGGTATTTTGTGCTTCAGTGGTGGATCCAGCAAAGTTTTTTTTGGGGGGGTGCTAACCAATGGCGAAATGAGCGCCGAAGGCGCAAGATTTCTAGGGTGGTCCAGGGCATACTCCCCCAGAAAATTTTTAAAATTTGGGGGTCTCTGAAATGGCATTTCCAGCATTCTGAGAAAACATTCTGGAAAATTTTTAGATTCTCAAAACATTTAAAAATTCAGAACATTTAATATTGGCTATTCCGCTATTGTCAGCTAGTGAAACGCAACTGAATTCCTTAACATAAGTTGGTTAGAATTAGGATAAACGTCATTTTTGCACCCCCCCCATGCACACCTGTTGACCAGAACCTGGGGGGGATGTGCACACCCCCCCTCTAAATCCACCACTGTTGTGCTTTACTGTGTAAATATATGCAACTCTGTCTTATGCTACTAATCTTACTCTCATGGACAGTGTGGTTGGCATCAGTTGGTCAATTTCACTTGCCCCTGGCTGCCTTTGATATGAACTGCATGGTGAACAGCCCACACTCTGAATACTGAGAATATTGCCTTGTGGCGAGGAAACCAGTAAACTAGCACACAACAAACACTGGGTTTAAAAATATTTAAATATATAACTAGGTACACACACAACCACATGTTTTAAATCAATAGAGACTGTGTGTAAACTGTAAATTAACTTAATGAAGCTATCTTAGTTGGAAATTGTTTGTTAAATAAACCAATACCAAACTGTACAATGATAAACATGACATAATTTAATCATATGTCTTCTATCTGTCCCCTTTTGCCTGACTTTCAACTAATATTAATACAGTACCTTTAAGAAAGGCTGCACAGTAGTATTGATGAATATTTAATTTTCCCTATGTTATTATACAAATGCACATCTTGTCAAATATATCCATACACTTATCAATGGTAATCGTAATCCTCAGGGTGGTATAATTCTGGCTATCCAAGACATAATACTGAGATAATTAGCATTACAAATATATAATTTAATTAAATACATTTTTCAAACTATCCCACTTTTGTGAGCAAATTTCATAATTATAACCTGTATACACCAGTTACAGTATATATACTGTCCATAATTTTATCATTGATTCTAAGATTAAAATCTGTCAGGAGAATGTCATATGACATATACAGCTTATATCAAATTATATTTGCACAGACAAAGCATATAAACACTCAACTATGCAGGCCTAGAAAATATATTTCTCTTCCTGGCAGCAAAATTGAAAAATAAAAATTTCCTAGTGTAGGTCAACGTATGGTGCCGCACATTGTGATAAACTTTCAGTATGGGCACAAGACGCTTTTGTAAACAATAAGTAAATTATATGGCATGCAGTCCAGTATAAGATGACAGAAATTTCCTGCAAGGTAAGAAAATTTCCTGCGAAGATATTTTGGTAAAAATTTCCTGGCAGCGGTGCTGCTGGTGCTTCCGGACATTTTCCAGCACTGCAACTATGGTAGGCAAGCAATCCCAGGCTATCATCTTTGTTTGCAAAATATCCAGCTAGTGTACAGAAATTGCCCAATAATTCAGGCAATGCAAAGTAAGACCCCTATCACAAGGCATGCCAGCTCATTTCCATATAAAATGAAAATGAAATAGGAGATACCACTGGAAGTTGCAACTTGAAACAATTACCTTTCATGTAAACTCCCCCTTAGTCTTCTATTGTAACCAATGTTGCATTGCTATTAGAAATCTCATTAACCTGCA